GAGGTCTTCTAACAGCTTAAAGCAACTCCACACTTTATGTGGACACATATTCTGGCACGCCCCTTGGACATCCACCAAGAAAACGTGGCAAATCCAGATTCGCTACCTCATCAATATCCCTATGTGTTTAATAGCATATCTTGTTCCATCACATGTTATGGATTCTCCACAGAAAATACTGGTGTTGGGTGAATCTCTCTGACAAGAGAAGTCCCTGACATTGAAATAATTTTGTGTGTGCTGTCAAATATTATTAAAAGTTTAGCTTACTTTATGGCATCTCTATCTAGTTTTCCTAGCAACTGATGTAGGATGTCCGTTTTCTTTTTCTAGCCTCACAGACCATAAACACCCAGGCAAGTTGTTGTGCTAAGGAGTTTCAATGTCATGTGATGAAAGATTGCCAGGTCATAGTGATACTGAGAGGATGCACAAGTTGCACAGGAGGCAAAGTGGTGACCCTAGAAGAACATTGCAACTTTCCGTTCCAAGCAGCTGAACCAGGGTTTCTTTTTTAAAAAGCTTTCAGAAAATTTCCCCCCTTTCTCTTGAAATTTAGTCTGGAGACATCATTTACAGCCATATAGTAATTCTCTCCTAAACCCTCTTTCTTTGATCTTTTAAATTTCTTTTTCCCCCTTTCTCAATTAAAGAACTCATTATTAACTCACTTGCTGGTTAGAAACAATTTCACAATGGTAGCTGATGCTGCCTCTACTAACTCAATTCTCTTCTTTCTTGTACTGTGTATTCTGTAGTCTCTATAACTTGTTATACAAAAGTACCTCTCCAAAGGGCAAGTGTTTCAGAAACCCAATACAAAGTGCCGAGTGTTTCCCATTTTGCAGCAATATACATTTCTAGTTGGAGGATAGTATTTCCGAGAATTCAACTTCAGTTTGGTCACTAAAATCAAAGTCATGGGAAAATTAATTACTGCCATCAGCTACCCTATCCTTGAAAAGACACTTATTTCTGATTTAGCCAATGTACAAGCTTCCTGTACTTTATATTTTATAATGCTTAGTTTATAATTTTTCTCAGCAAGCATCCTGAATGCCTTTAATTTTTCTACCGTAGGGCTAGAAATAGTTTTACTGCTGAGTAACATCTGTTCTGCAGCTGTTTAAAACATAAAATAGGGCTATCCCCAAAAACACCCGTAATTAAAATAAGTCTGGCAGGCAGAAAGTCCCAGCGCCCGTCCAGGCAGCACTTTTATTGCGGGAAGTCTCGCAATAAAGGAGGGACTGTCCAGACAACATTCTGGACAGTCTCGAATTAATTCCCTACAAACCAGGAAAACTTTGGTTTGTAGCAAATTAATTTGATAGTGGATTTATTTATACAGAAATGACATGCCAGGAGAATGAGGGGGGAAGGAAAATCATTCTTCCCTCCCCCCCCCCAACTCTCCTGGAATGTCATTTCTACGCGCCAGGAGAGCTGACCAAGGCTTCTAATGGAGACCACGTACATTTTTATTAGCTTTCCAAGAAGTCTGGGGGCTTGGGGGGAGGGGGGAGTAGGGCCTCCACACATTCTCTCAGGCAAGTCCTGAGAGAACATCTGAACACCCACCCCAGAAAGCGCGTGCTTTCTGGGGTGGGCCACCAGAAACATCCGCGTTTATTGATACAGATGCTACTAGAATAAAGGCCTGTCTGGATCTGGCCACAGATCAAATCCAGGGCTCAGAAAGCCTCCTGAATGTATGTTTTAGACAGATAGACCAATGGTAGAATTCAGTGTAATAAGGCAGCTTTCTTTGAACACATGGGATATTTATTTTGATATCTATATAACATGAGTTCAAAGAAACTCATAGCTGCCAAATAGAATCCACATTTATCCAATTTCTAGTGATTCCTGGAACCAGTCTTCAATTTTCCATATCTGGGCAAGGTACTAGAGCATGTGATTGTTTCCTAACGTCAAGGATTCCTGGATGATGCATTTCTAGATGCATCTAGATGCATTTCATTCTAGCTATGGAGCGGCTAGCTATGGAGTGGAGGCAGCTTGGGTCACCTTGGTAGATAACCTACACTGAGAACTGGATGAGGACATGTGTCACTATTGGTTTTGCTGGATTTCTTAGAGTACACTGATACCATTGACCATAATATCTTACTGGGCCAACTGTACAACACTGTTCCTTTATTTTTTGACACACACACACATATATGCATACATATACACATACACTGATTTAATCCACATGTGCCTGTTCATAGTCTTAACTAGCTTGTGAAACATACCTTTAGGGAAATGATGTTTCTATATTTTGTATTTTCCATCTGCAAGCAAACTTGCAGCTCAGGGTGAGAAGCAGGTAATGAAAAGACAATGAAGGAAAGAGAATCCTTATCTCTTGTTATGCTAGTACTAGAAAAGACAGAATAGTGTTATGGTCAAAACACATTAATCAGCTCCCTTGCTTCCTTAACAGATTTATTGTTGTAAGAAAAAATGGAGGAAAAGATACAAAAACACTACAAGAAGGGCTACAAATGGGAGAAGTTATATCTTAAAAATCCTGCTGCACCAGTTAAAAAAAATGTGAATGTGGCAGGGTGAATACAAAACCCTTTGTTTGAAAGTACTTGGACTGGACTTCCAGATGAGATTTTTTTATTCTGCAATTTGATAGAGGACTTTAGACAATGATGTCTTCCACAAGTAATTCTTCTCTTGTGTTTCTACTGCTTCTTTCATCTTTTGTTCTTATCCAGAAAAAAAGATATCTTTGAAGAAAAGGAAAAAGGGGTTCTCCACCTGAAAGCACCTTGAGTTCTTGCTTAAAGAGATCTTTCACACACAGAACAAAGTGCCCTTCATAGGGGAACCTGATTTGGTATGCAAACTTGTGCTACTATCCTGGGACCAATAATTCCTTCACACGCACGTCTTGAAGGAACTTGTAGTCCAGTTGAGCTATTTTTATGTGTGCCATTATCACTACTCCCTAGGGTAAGATTTCAGCCATAAGAAGCTTGTATTTCGCTGACATGTTATTACTTGCAGTGGGTGTTTGGGGCTCCCAACAGAGTGAGTGAACATGACATATGTCTGCCAGCTGCAGAGGGAATACGATCTGGGCCAAATATAAGAACTCTGGGATTCATACATTTGTTTTACACGTTGCAGGTTCATTTAAAGAAACGATGCTTTCACATAGATTATCTACACTGCTTACGGAATTCTCCTTTGAATAGATCTTGCTGTTGCAGGATGAAGTGTAGGACCTTCTTTGGTCAGAAGTCTTTGGAGATCTAATAGATAAGTAACGTCTATTTCCCTGCCTGTGTGAAAGTAATAAATATACTCCATTTCAAAGCAGAGAGAAAAACAGACAGACTTTCTTTCAAATGTTTCATATTTTTCCCTGACCATATTCCTGTAAATGCCCAGTAAAATGGTCATTAAAAGGTCTTCTTTGATCACGTCTGTCCTTGCAAAGATTAAGAGTGAAAATCCATATCTAGAAAATGTGTTGCTTAGAAACAACTTGATCACCAGGTCTCAAATCCCAAGAGGATTTGATTTCTTTGACCGAGGGTGGTGCAAATGCCCTGGCTGCAGACTTTGAGAGAGCAATGTTGCTGGTAGAGATATCATACACATTTTTAATTTCCAATGATAATTAGAAAATTAGTGCAGTTAGCTGTAAAACATAATATTAGTAACAGTAACTCATCTCACTCTTCTTCTGTCCCATAATCAAGGATGTTTGATGTAACGTGGCGAGCGTTTGGTGATTTATTTCAGTGGATTAACTGTAGAAAAGAAAAATTGGCCACTGCTTTGAGAGTCTTTTGAAGTGAAACATTGGCTTATGAAGCGAGAAAGAGGAGGAGGAGGGGGGGGGAGGGGGAGGAGGAGGAGGAGAGTTTTAAAATTCTTATTTAATAGATCTGGATTGTACTACTGACTCTTTATAGATATAATTGCACACAGTGACACGATATTGAGTGGTGTTATTGTATGTGTGCTTTCAACTGGCAGTCTCCATCCAAGTACAAAGAGCCAGTCCTGTTCAGCTTCTAATATCAGACTGAAACTGGTGTCTTCTTTTAATAAGGGTCCCTTGAAAGTATGTACCATTTTAGCACACACTGTCACTCAGCCACTATCATCACTCCCAGTTTCCTTTGGAATTATCAAAGTTTATCCAGAACTTATTTAATCCATATAATAGTAAAATTAATAAATTAAAACACAGTATTTCCCAGGAGATAAAATGTTATTTTTACCAGATCATAAGATGAGTTACTATCCTATTAAAATCTGTTCGACATCTTCTGTACATATACAAACCTTAGTATAAATGGAACCAAATTAAATATGTTTTGACAGAAATATACATTAGCCAAATAAAAGCACCTATGTAAATTTAACATTTTCCATATAATTGCAACAAAGCTAAATAAAAAGTGAAATGCAAACTTGATTGCCTGCAATCATGCTTTAAATTCTGGGAGAAAACATTTAAAGCCCAATTAAAATACAAATAATTGATAAGCTCTGTGGTCAACATAAGTGATGTCTTGCTTTTTTTTCTTTTTTGTTTTTCAGTGTTGGTTGAAAAAGAATATAAGGTGGAAAGAACTCGGCCTGCAAATGTAGAGGCCCACCTGATAACCAAATCTCACCAACTGTTTCAAGACAAAGTCTAGACAATCTTTTCTTCTTTTTTGAAATTTGCTTTTAATTTATTATTTATTTAGTTAGTTAGTTACAATATTTCTCTCCTGGTTTCTCACGCCCGAAGGCGACTCAAAGCGGCTTACAAATTGGCAGCAATTTGATGCCATAACAATCCACAATCTACAATTAAAACAGCATTATAAAATCAATATAAAATCAATACAATATAAAAGCCATTAAAACATATAATAACCATTGTCTTCCTGTTAATCTCACTTTCCAGTAGCATCGTCTAAGCCATTCCATGTTTCAAACTTACATTCTATGTTTATCTATTGCACTGCATTTCCAAAAGCTTGTTCAAAGAGCCAGGCTACTCTACCACAAATTATGCAGTGAAGTTTCCCGCATTTGGGGAAATCGCAGGGGTCAGCACACCCGGAGTGTAATGGATGAGCCTCGCCTTGGGAAAACCTCCTTCATGATCAAGGTGTCTTCCCTGCCAGGTGAATGTCTATAACATCATTCTAAGCCATCTATAACTGGACTTTAGATCTCAGAACATCATTCTATCTTTGCTTAGTAATGGATATTAATTTCTCTTAAAATAGCTTTCCAAGCTTTGTGTTGCCAGCTTTATAATTGCAGTAGGAAGGTTTTTCAAAGCTTCAACATAAAGCCACATAATATACTATGATATGCCATGAATATCTCCATATTTTATCATCAAATGTGTTAGCTGCAACTATCTGGTTTACTCAGGATCAACCATATATAAGTTGGCTTTATTCAGGCCTACTCTAGCCACTCCCTATTACTTTGATATTCAACTTAGAATAATCATTTGTGATTTAGTATGCATCTCTGTGCAATTTCATAAGTGAAGTTTGATGTCCCAGAGGTTCTGTCATTCGAAAACAGTCACTACTTGTTCAGTTTTTAAAAGCCCACAGCAGATAGAAAGAGGACTGAACAAACAATACTAGTTTGTAACAGGCTGAAAATAGGAAATAAACCAATGCATGCCCCTATTTCCTTTTTCCAGAACAGTAATCCTTTCATGTAAGGTTCTATTGAAAATTACTTAAGAATAGTAATTTAATCCTTTTCTTCAAGTATGTAGGCTACAGTATAGGTAGGAATAAAACTTAAAAAAGCAGAAGGATGGGTGGAATCTCTTTCATTATTAGATTTCATTTCCATCACATTTGATCTACTGCAAGGTTTATATATTTTGAAAGGTTCAGTTGTGTCCTCAAACACTGGCTGTTTGGTTTCTTTATCACCACCTACATTACAATTTTTCTCTTTTTTAATTCTTTCTTTTTGAACATATGGGCCACCAAACATATCTAGACTCTATATTTAGTCCCTATCAATATATGCTATGGGGAATCCTTCCAATTACAAGCTTGACATGTGGGTTTTTGAACAGGTGTTGTTTCCTTTTTGTTGTGTGCCTTCAAGTCATTTCCAACCTATGGCAACCCTAAGGCAAATCTATCATAGGATTTTCTTGGCAAATTTTACAAAGGTTTGCTATTGCCTGCCTTTGAGACTGAGAGGGTAGGATTCACCCAAGGTCAAAAATTGGTTACCCTATCATTCCCAAATGTTACAAATGTCCCCACAAACCATCATTTTAGAAGAATGTTTTGGTTCCCAAAATCTCTAGAAAATGCCCATTCTGGTCACAGCTCTCTTCCTGACATGATAAAAGATTCAATCCTTTAAGGGAAATAATAGGGGCTGAAGAATATGGACCGTACAGAGTCAGATAACTCATTTTATGTGATCAACAAAGATATAGAGTCACAGCCTGTCATAGCTACTAGAAGATAGCATGTGCTCAGAAGTCCTGATAATGTCCAGAGAGCAATGGCCGAGCTGTTCTGCCAAATATTTTAGCAGTTGGTGGATAGCCTGACCTAGGAATACATAAGCTGTTTCCCCCAATTAGCACATTGTGCTTGTGCCTTTGTCTGCTCATTGTTGTAAGGCCAACAAGGATCACAGACTGCATTCTCTGGCTACATTTGCGTTATGAATTACAGAAAGGCATCCCTGTTGGAATAGATTCTACACAAATGGATAGGGCCCTATCCAGATATAAAGCCATTGGGATTGTTTGAGGATTTTTCTAATGCCTGGCTCTCTATTAAAGACAGACTTATTCACATAACAAGGACGTTTGGCACTCCAGTATTTCACCGCCAACATAATGAAAAGCATCCAGATGATTTCCTCTATGATGTGGGTAAAGCCTGTGAGAATGTTTCCTATCCAAAGCTGGAAAAAGAGGTCCCACTGTAATTGTTTTCACCTCTGAGCCTTGTGAATATTGGTTATTGATGCAATGTTGAAAACAAAACCTTTCTATTATTAAAAACTTCTGTTCTGTTATGGAATTTGCCATTTCTCATTCAGTGTGCTACCTTTAGTGTTTTATATGAATTCTGAATCCAAAGAATTGTGTACTGGTTTTATGTTATTGATCAATATATTAAATCTCTCTATTTTTAGCAGGTTACTTTTTGAATATTAAGTCAAGTTTATTCTGAATTGACCAACCAGACTTTTTTTACATGCAGGCATAGAGCACATTCAAACATAATTAAGATAAAATTGCCATCCCCCTTTTTCCTGATTGAGCAGGTACCCCATTCTGACATCTGCAGAGGTGCCCACAATGGTCAAGTGTTGGGATGGAGCTCCATGGCTGGCTAGGAGGGATGGCAGTGGCAACATGAAAGGGGTGGTGACAAAGTGGAACATATGCATACACCACCACCCCCCAGAAATCTTGACTGCTGTACTGATCCCAAATGGGGTCCCCTTACCTCAATGTTGGGGTCCCAAAATTTGGCAACAGTAAAAGTTTTCTGAAAGCCACTAATGACCTTGTCACATGACCACTGGAGAGGCTCTGCTTTGTTGAGGGGCATGGGGAACCTGGCTCCAGCTGATAGTGATCAGATGGGGGCAGTGTGGAGTGAGTGGCTTTCCCCCATGGATACCAATGGCTACACATGAGCCCGCACATGTTTTCGTGGCAGCGCTGGCTCAGCCCTACTTCACCCACAAAGCCGTACCAGCGTTGTTTCATGGGAGCTGGTGGGCTCCATGGGTGACCTGGGCTAACTGTCATTTGCCACCAATTTTAGCCCCATGTGAAAAGGTCCCTAGTGATTGTTTTAGACACGATGATGCCCACTTCTGCTCTAATATTTATATCATATTGAGAACTTTTAGATCATTTGCTGCTCTTTTGTTTTGGGGAATCATTAACATAAGTCTATCATATTAACAATACATCACTTCTTCCATTAGAACTTCAGTGATCATGTACTAACTGATGCATATTTATGTGATTCTAATTGTTTTAAATTAATGTTTAAATGCAATACTTTAACTGAGGTGATTTTAATGCCTTTCAATTTTTTGTACCAACTACTATTTTAGCTGAAGCCAATGTGATGTAGAAGTTTGACTCAAACACTGGAAGACCTGGATTTGAATTCCCACTAGGTGACCTTGGGCAAGCTACACTCTCGCAACCTCAAAAGAAGGCAAAAGCAACCCCCCCCCCCCCGAACAAATTACATCAAGAAAATCTGTGATAGGTCAGAAATTATTTTAAGGCAACAATAATAATTGTTTTATCTATTGTGTTTAACATTTATTGCTAGCTAATTTGGATCTCTGGCCTCTGGTAGTCCAGTAATCAGGCAACTCAGAACTGGAAGCAGAAACATTTTTAATGGTTGAGTAGGTAGTAGAATGTGCCATGTACAGATGTTGCTGCCATTCCCACTAGGACCTCATCAGACAGGGCACTTTTCGGCGGCATGCACCAGTTCCTCTTTACTTTTGCGATTGAGCTCTCTGGCTTCCATCCCATGACGTACAGCTACTTCCGGTGGGGCTCTGTCATAAAAGCAGCAACACAGGAAGCTTCCTGTGTTACATTGGTAACAATGAGGGAAAGCTGAGCAGTGGATGCTTCCTCCTGTGGGATGGGATTTCTTGTAAGTTGGGTGATACGGGTCATGGGACGACGGGTTCACCACTTTCAGATTTGCTGCAATTCTGGCAACCAGTGTGATGTGGTTGTAAGGGTTATATCCCTACAATACACTGAACACAGGGTATGTTTTCCAAATCCTTTTGGGTTGCTGTAGTTTGTGGGAGATTCAACAACAGCCCCTAAAACAGGTTTATCCAAACTCTGTGCTGTTACTAGGGCTCATGGTTGCAATGCTGCCCTTGCTGTCTTGCTCTAAATAGTATGATCAACTCAAGCACATTCATTCACCAGCTCTTTTTACAGTCCTGTCTCCTCACTTCTGGGTTGTTGTTTTTTTTTTTTTTTGGGGGGGGGGGGTTGATGCATAGAAATGTACAACACAAGAAGAAACACTTTTATGCTGATTCAATGAGCACAGGTGCCACCTGGAAATGAAAGATAATGAATACTGACACTTTAATGTCACTTTAGCCACAGAAGAACAAACTTTCTCTTCTCCCTGCCTAGAGGCCCCAAGAAGTACAGTAATTACCCAAGACCTCTGACGATCTCCTGAGTCCTGGCAGTGGCAATCTAAATTCATTATTCCATTCCATTCACCAGATGCTCCTCTCTTTTCCAGCTCCAATGCTTTTTGGGATAAGCCTCACTTGAACTCTTAACGGCCTATAATCCATATCAAGGAAGCACAGGATGTTTCTCTTTTTATCATTGTGTTGGGGCAACTTTGAATAACTGTATGCCAGTGGTTCTCAACCTGTGGGTCCCTGGATGTTTTGGCCTACAACTCCCAGAAATCCTAGCCAGTTTACCAGCTGTAAGGATTTCTGAGAGTTGAAGGCCAAAACATCTGGGGACTCACAGGTTGAGAACTACTGTGTTTTCCACATCCTTCAATATGAGGCATAATGGATTGGCATGATGGATACATGACAACAAAATATTCCATATGCTTGTTTTACAGAAGCAGCATCTCTAGTATCATCATGTTAATTTTGTCTATCAAGAATACTGTGGTTTTTGTGATATGGATTCTCCTAGCTCGGCTTAGTTTTACTGGCACGTTAATCTATTAATTTATTGTTATTTTTTATGGATGATGTAGTATAATGTTTTTAAATGACTTTATTGTAAATTGTAATTTTTATTGTAATTATGCTGTTAGCATCCTCTGATGCTCATGTGAGGCCTCGCTGAGTTTCCCTTGTGGGGAGAAGGACGGGATATAAATATATGAAATAAATTCAAAAAAGACAAGACTTTTGAAATGCTTGGGTAAATTTAGTTCTGCTCTCATTGCCTCAGATGAAAGATATACACAATTTGATTAGAATCACATTCATCCCTCTATGTGTAGCTGGACTATAGCTTCCTCACAACCTGCATAGCCCATTATGAGGAATGCCGGAAGGTGCCAAGAATCTATTGTGGGTCTGGAAGACATTGTTCATCTTGATATGAGTGAAAATGAAATGAAATTTGTAGGA